CCCCAAAACCCCAAAACCCCAAAACCCCAAAACCCCAAGTAGCTGTCTTCCTCTTGAAATTCGAATGAAAATTTTACTTTTTAAAAGATGGAGTTAACTTCCCATCTTTCATGATTCATGAGTTTACTTGTGATGCAAACTTCAGGGAATTTATCGTCTCTGAAGCATGACATGCCAGAGGAGACGCATTCACGATCATCAAAGTTTTAGCAGACTTAGCACTTAAATGGGGTTGCAGTAGATATGTCAGCTTCGAATTCCTATATGGTACAAATTTGTCTCTATTTTTAAGAGATGTGATTACATCTCTTAATGATGTCAGACTCTTATTAATTTCAGTTGACTCTTTCTTTCGTTCTTTATTGTTCTTAGCATTAGCTATTTTATGGATTCTTTCACTTCCAGCAAGATCTATTAAGTTAATTGCACCATTTAGTTCTTTTCCTCCAATAACAGAGTCTGTTCGAGATTCGACTAAAAGTTGGAAAATACTGTGGCTTCGAGAAGATCTAGCGTTAGCTGAAGTTTCAGCGACAGATCTATTGTGCTTAGCTGTGTTTAGTAAATAAAGTACTGTTTCTATTTTATCGACTTCTACAATTGTTGGCTCATATTTCATTGCTTTATTGATCTGCTTCATTGAGTTTCCAGTAAGAAGCAGATCTCGAACTTCATCAAGGTAGATTTCTTGGAAAGATACTTTAATCTTGAATTCCCAGCCTAATTCTTCCATCTTAGTAATATTTTCAAAAAGTGCTTCTATTGCTCTGGGAATGATACCCCTATCTTCTTCGCTTTCTATGTCACCTTCCATAGTATGTGTTTTCCCTGATCCTGTTTGGCCATAGGCAAATATACAGACTTTGTACCCATCAAGAGCACTTAAGACTAAATGATGGATTTCCTTGAAGAACTCTTCTTGAGTAGATTCGGCTCCAAAAATTGCATCAAACTCGAAGGTTTGTCTTGCAATAGAATTCCTACTTACTTTTTGAGATATTTCCTTGCCAATAAAACTACTAGTGTTTACCTCAAGATTATGAAAATTTCTGATCTTCATGACTTGGTTGACTCCTAACTTACATACTATATCATCAGGGTCATCAGACTCCAGGACTGGTCTTATCCTGCAGAAAACTCGGATATTTCCTTTCAGCTCATGAATTTTATTTCTGAGTAATTTTTGATAAAGGGAAAGTTGAAAATCATTCTCTTGCATTACTGCCATCTCTGTCTTCATCTGGTTGATGTTAGTCTTATATTCTCTAACATCAGATTCTATTTCCTTTATAGCTTCCTGGTTCAGTTCATACTTATGCCTAACCTTCTCTCTTTTATTCTTCAGTGACTGAACCTCTGCTTGTAGAGTAGAGAATTCAGTGTGAAATTTTCGCTCATATTCTGCTTTCTTCTGTATATTCTTATTTACGCTGATCTTCTACTTTGACAACCACCTCGTCTCTCTGCTGTATCGACCTTTGAAGTAAGGAATGGCTTTCTTCAGCCCTTTTTCTCTCTTTCTCAATCATGAGCTTAAGTCTCTTAATTTTGGTAAGTTGAAGTTGTTTTTCCATTTCAGAGAACTCTTTTAGTTTAGCATTATTTCCTTTCTAAATTCTTACTCTTCTTCTTTAGTTCTTCATCAGCCTTTTTGTACTTATTTATTAGTGGCCTCTATGTGCTCTATTAGGTCCTGCATCCCTGAATCAAGCTTCTTGAATGAGGATTTAGCCAAAATTGGTTTATTTTCTTTGTCTTCTAAGTTATGTTAGTAACAAAATTTTGGTCATACTTACCTTCTTGGTTAGTCATAGGCTCAAAGACTTGATCTCTACTCCGTTTGACCTTTGATTCGTTGATAAACCTTTTTGTTTTTGAAAGAAAGGATTCCCTGTTTGCATCGAAATTTGACATTTGGCGGATTTTTAATTTCAATATATTATATAATACCCGGGGTTTTGGGGTTTTGGGGTTTTGGGGTTTTGGGG